GGTGGCTAGGGCTTCAGGCTGCTCACTTGGACCAGACAGCACATTTAGGCATGTGTGCGTGAGAGCTAATAGATCCGTCCGTGTGCCTCTAAAGCTATTAGTTGTGGATTGTCCCGGCATTGATAATCCGACTGTCTGAGGGCTTGTTAAAACTTTCCTCCAGGCCACCTGTTCCTGGGGGGCAGCTGTTGTCCCTCACCAGGCCACAGCCGTTAACGCCAACCATTCCTGGAATATGGGGGGCAGGACTCATGGCAGGTCCTGCCTTCACCCGGGAACTACTCAAGCATCAACACAAGCCAACAGACTGACACATGGAGAAGAGTTACGAGAACACACTTGCCTTCAGATGTTAACACATCCACCATAAATCATTGCCCTTTAAATGACACATTTCAACACAGCGAGCAGTAAAACAGAACAAATGTTTTGATCTGCAGCAACCAGTTGTGCAAAGACAGAGCGCTGCGGTTACGTGGACCAACTGGAAATTAAATGAGATATCATCTTGTGTAAACAGACGGTAAGCGTTAATGTCAAGTCAGAGCATGTATCCAAAACAACTGGTGGCCCCAGATTAAGCTAAGAGGTGCTATAAAGAGATGAGAGGCTGAAGTCTCACAGCAGGCTCTCATCAACAGCTTTTTTAACACCCGAGTTCATTTCACGAGCTCCATTACTTTGTTGCACACCATTATCGACGGGGAAGCTCCAAAAAGCCCGTGAGAACCAGACTAGAGACGGCTATGGACTGCACAGCCACCACCAACAGTTGCCTGCCCATGCTGTGAATACCATTTCCATTCCCAGAGGTACTGGCCAATAATCTCTACACAAAATCAAGCAGCGGTCCAGCGTGCCTTACAATGCATAGCTGGCATACCAGTGTGACGGACCTCTGTTGCATGAATTAATGGCCAGATGGAAGAATAATGACGCTGGCCTTCAAGACTGAGTTACCCCCAACCGCCCTCGATGCCAGAGCAGGCCCATGAAAAGCTGACTCGGCTATAAATAACCGTTATTCATTGTCGAAAAATGAATAAACTGGACAAAGAGATACGAGACGGAGGGAGAGTTGGTGAGCGGGTTTCTGGCACTATATAAGGAAGGCCGTTAACCACACGGCAGCAACGCTTTGCAATTAAACTTCTGAGCAGGAAACCAAAAAAACACATATTCATCTTGGCCAACAATTTCATTAAATCTGTTCATGTCAAACTTTAAGGACATTCTTTTTTCAAACCTCACCTCTGGGTGCTCCATGTTGAGGAGAATTTACCCATCAGTGCATCTACAGGAAACTGAACGGCATCCATTCATAAAACACCCTCAGGAGACACGTCGTCGTCTCCTTGATCTCTAAAGAGAAGGATTTTATGAACTAGACTGTTTGAAACACAAGATTTTACGGTGCTTTTTATTGAGTTTCTTCTGATGTATGATTCCTGCTAACTACCGACGCTGTGGTCGATGTGCTCGTCGCTGTAAAAAAAATAAAAAAACGTTGCGGCAAAAGAAAGAGCGACATGTTGAGTGCCTCGAGTGCAGGACTTTGGTCGTGTGCCAGACGGGCCTGGAGGGAACAACTTACGGATGTTTGTATTTGTGTTAAAAACTACAAAGAATGTGGAGGACCGCGTGACGACGACGCGCTCCACCTGTCAAGCAACTTTAAATCAGAAAGCAGCTGCAACGTCACCAGAAATATTGCGAGTCTGCCTGCAAAGGGCTGATCAAAGAGCTGCGCTGCTGAGAGGACCGACGCTCGTCCTGAATATCAAGCAGCGGTGGCTGGTGCACAAACACTCAGCAGCCCTCTATAGCATGAGCGAGATTCATTTCTTAACCGCGGTATTAAGTGGGCACTCTGAGAGCTGTTGATGTCATACACAGTTAACCAACAGCTGATCCGCTCCGCCACAGAATTAATACGGCACTAATGCGCTAAACGGCTGCCACGGCGGCTCGGCGAGATGAAAGATCTTCGCACCTGAGCGGGAAGAGGACGCACTCGAGATTCGCTCAAGGAGACAACTCTATTGATTGGAGTAGTTCAGGAGCGTCTGGCAGGAAATAACAGACACAGACGCAAAAAAATAGACATGACAGGGTTTGTCAGGTTACGGCTGTGGATGAGTTTGTTTTCCTCTCCCTCATAAGCATCTCCACCAGCAAGGTCAACGCTTAACAGAGAGGTCAACTCGGCCCTCGGGGGGGAAATGGAACTTGTGAGGTTTTGTTTTGGCCACAGGAAGTCCAGCACAAGTCTAAACATGGAGAACAGTTCACTAAATGAGAAGACAACCTTGCGTCATACATTCTACGAGCTGTGGCGATTGTTTTTGTTTTTAAGAATCGCTAAATGAACGAGATTGGAGAGCTCTCACTGCTCTAAAGTGTGCGAGGAGGAAAAGCCGGCACAAGTGTTTCGCAGCAGCACAAAGGGGGAAGCGGGTGGAGGTGGGGTCATGACACGCAGCCCAGTATCCTCTTACTGGATAAACAGGTTTTTATTGCTGCGGTTTTACAAATGAAAACCAAACACGTACACACACGAGCTCTCTGAACGGCCTCCCAACAGCAGGCCGCTTTAAAACTACCAGCCTAATTAAGATTATGTCAGACGCAATTAAGCCGTAGAAGGAAATAATTACACAACATTGTGCGCCCAAAAAGCGGTGCAGCCTCCTCTCCCGGTGGTGCGTTCAAAGGCTCCCTGTGAACATGGGTCAGTTTTAAAAGGTCCTGTCAGGTAAAAGGTGCGACTGTAAGCCTGTGAGCCATTTTAAACCAGCTTAATTTGGAAACACAAACCACCAAATGATCCACAGATCATATATTTGTGGGAGATTAGCGAGCTCACGCCTCCTATATCGGTGCCACACAGCATCGATATGTGTCTGCAGGCACACAGGTGGATGAATGGTTTAAATATCCCCAAATCATTTCTCTCAGCAGGTTCCCGCTGGTAACAGGATTAAGGAGCAGAATGTGCTGTAATTTGTCCCCCAGCAGCAAGCAGGGCTTAAACCACGTGGAGCAGCAGATTTCCACACTAATAATCACCGCGTTTGACTAAAAACATGAATGAAAATGTGTGTTAAACAGATGCATTAGTGATTTAGAGGAACTTAAACCACAACAGCAGCACCGCCACCTTCAGTCATAGCAGCACATGCTAATAAAATGCTACTTTAAAAAACTACACTATCCACCGCTAGATGTTCTGGATGTCTGCTGCCAACAGGAGCTGGTGGGAAAAACTCTTGAAGTCAGCAACAAACCGACAGCTTATTATCGTAACTCCCAGGTGCCAATTCACAAAACATCTTCTGAAATTATAGAGCAGCCGGCTGAGCGTGGCGCTGCAGAACACCGAGCTGCTCCAGGCAGACCGTCCTCGACTGTCAGGCTGAAGGGCAACAACTAAGAAGCAAACTGCTACTCGGGAGAAGGACGGAATCAGCACAATGTCTGAGACTCGGCTGAAAGCAGCAGTCGAATATTTTCGTTCTCGCTCGGCGCTCATGAATATACAGCACGGTGTCAGGGCTGTCGGCCTCTTGACGGCTGGTGAAAACCCTCCAAGAAAAACGGATGTGAATGCATTTTAGTGTGTTTGACTGTTTGTGATGCCAGTCGGACAATGTGTGGAAGTGTTCCCCCGTTCATTAAACACACCAAAGCGAGCCGGGTCCGGTTGTCTCAACAATGAGGCCTTGTGTTCCCCTGAGCGTAGGGAAGGTCGACGTGAAACAACAACACGCTGCTCCACGTCCCTTCAGCAGCCAAACAAAGCGGCCGAACCAGATCCTCAACCCGACAGTTCAACCTCACGAGTCGGCAATTATACCGCTGACCTGCTATTTAACGAGTCCGCACACGACAGAGGCTGGGCTTCCAAAAGCTTTGGAGGGAAACCATGTGTGCTGAGGTGTGCGACGCGGAAGTGAAGCACCTGTCAGCCTGAGCAGGTGTACGGCTGCCTGGCTGGCTGCAACAAACACAGGTTAAAAATAAAGCTGGAGCCCTCGCCGAGGTGTGGAGGATCAGGGAGCTTAAAGGTAGAGCTGACACTGAGCCCAGATGTGCTTATGTGGGAGCTCAGTAAAACCCAACATCAGACGCCAAAGACTTATCTCACCTGCACAAGACGTCTGTTTTTCACAATTTAAAGAAAAAAAGGCCATTCCATTTGGGTGACAACTAAAAACTTCCCCCCCTCGTTCCTCCCACACGGCACCCAAACGTCCTGAAAGCCTCATTTGCAGAGCCGAGACACACTAACACACATAACGCGCCGAGCCACTCATGTGGGAAATTCTATTTTTACTGTCAGGCAGGGCGAGGCTCGGCCGTACTGTACACAAAGTAGGGAAACCATAACAAGGGAGGCAGGGAGGCGGCGGACGGCTATCAGGGAACAAAGCGGAAGTGTCCTTCCTCCTGATGACCTGCGAGTTACAGGAGGAACACAAAGTGCTCTCTGTGCAACATGGAACATGGCAATGCAGCTGCAGCGAGGGCACGGGATTTCTGTTGCAGGGATTGTGATTTAACTAAAAGAGTGTGCAATTAGATGATCCTACTTTCATGTGTGTGTGTGTGTGTGTGTTCTCCTTAGTTCTTCAGGTTTCTTCCTTTTTTGGGAGTCTCTCCTCATCTAAATCAGGGCTCTACATATAGAAACAGGCAAATGTATGACTCTGAGCTACATAACTAAACTGCTTCCAGCCTCCTGATTAAAATGACTGAGCAGTGAGACGTTATAGATCCAGAACAGCAATAAAAATGAGCATGAATGATGGCTGAGCTTGCTAGAATGTGCATATGGAGCATAATAAGGGGCAGAAATAAAGATGAAATCAGCTCTGATGTCCTGATAAAACACAAATACATCATTTAAATGGGTCCCTCTATCTCATATTGGTGCATGTCCCTCGTACTGACTCATCTTTCTGGGAAGGGTAGCCCACACTCCCACCACACTCATTTACCTCCTCCAGAGCAGACACCGTGTTCCTGCAGTGGGACATCCTGGTGGTGAAGTTAGAGGCGGTCGGTGACTTGTAGTCTTCATTGGTCTCTGCCACAAACTCTGAAACTGTGATTTGGTCAGGCATGGTTAATCCCTGGTGCAGATGAGAAGAAGAAGCAGAAGAAGAACTATTTTCTTGTTGAGGACAGAAAACAAAAAGTTCAGAGCAGCAGCAGCAGCAGCATCAGTGTGTTTGAAGGGCAGGAAAGCATCTCCGGGTGTGTTTATGTCATTCCCTTGTTCGGTCCGGTGCAGCGGTGAGTTGCACGTTGCCCACAAGAGTTGCAGCAGCAGCAGCAGCAGCAGCGTCGCCGCGCTGCGCTCACAAGGTGATGGATAAAGGTTATATCCCCTCCTGTCTCTCACGATCCCGTTACTCCCGTTTCCATTCACTTCCACCGGATCGGTTCCTCGGGGGTAAAGCCAGACGTCCTCGGTGTGATCCTGGGTGTCCTCTCTCGGCGTCCGCGGACCAGAGGTAACTTCTCGTCCTTCCGAGTCCCGGGAAACAACAAGCGGCCGCTTCAACGGGAGCGCAAGAAATCGACAAAGGTAGAGGAGGGGATTCAATGGAGGCGCGGCAGCCAATGGGGAGCCGCGGCTGGAAAACCGGGAGCCAACCAGGATCCGGGGAAGGCGTGAACTCGCGATGCGTTCAGGTGCACATCGGAAACGGTCACGTCCTTGTAGTAAGTGTAGTTTCTGAGGCGGTCTTTAGATTTAAACCTGATAAATGCACCGATTTGAAGTAAAATGAAAAGAAAACATATAAAGATAATAAAACACTTTCTTACACATGTTTTGCATTAATATCAGACGGAGTGCATTCACATCTTAAGACCCTTGTTTGATATGCATTATTTATTTATTTCATAATAAAAAAAATAAGAAAAAAGAAAAAGAAAAAATAAATAAATTAAAAATATATTTAAAAATATTTAAAATAAAAAAATTAATTTAAAAATATATTTTAAAACATTTAAAATAGATAACAATCATAAAATAATACAAATAAAAATAAATAAATTTAAAAAAAAATTGTGCTAATGTAACCCAAAATGTATTGTCCACACGTGTGGATACCAGGTTTAAAGAGGTTAAAATTAGTCTTATTTATGGTTATTTGACACAATCGTTAAAGGTGTGTCTTTAAAGTACTTACCTATTAGTAATTTGTGTAGTCCAGGAGAAGAGATGCTGGTGAGGAGAAAAAGTTCACCCATAACACCAAACCCCAAACTAACAATTAGCAACAATAATCACATCAAATCTGCTGCCTGTGAAGCTGACAAAATAAAAATATATCTGTCTACAGCCCAATGATATCTGCAGCAATCACCAATAAAACAATAAACTGTGTTTTCATTGCTGCTCTGCTACCTGTTGCCCCATTCAGTTGGTTGCTTTACAGATAACAGAGACCTGCATGCTCTACATGTAGTTATGGGGAAGCATCAACACACACAATGTCATCACTGCTGTAAAAATTCAATTATCCAAAGTACCTCAAAAACGCCTACAAGTGCTGCTACTAACATTGGAAATGATCAGATTGCTGTATTTTTTAATTTATACGACAACATCAGTCGATTCTTAGATATAAACGTTGTATCTGAACATTCAGTCTAATAGCATCCTGAGTTGGGCATGTTTATATTTTACAGAACTAAAAAACTGCACGTAAACTAGGATTCTATAAACTATTGCAGAGCCTATGAAGCTACTCGTGGACAAGTAAATACTGACTATTACTGTAGGTGTGGCTCCCAGAGAGGGAAAGACTGGTCATCAAGGTGTCAACAGCTGAGATCTGCTGATATGTGAGCAGGAGCAGGTTACACACCCGAGCAGTTACTTGTTTCCATAAAGAGTGTTGGCGTCTAATAAATATATAACAGTGAAATGATCGTTTCTTGGCTCAACTGCCACCATCTCTCTGCTCTGAGAATCATAAATTCATACAGATTTAATAAAAGTTTCCATATCCATTTCCACCACGAGTTTGGTGAAAAGCAGTGTGTGATCCAAATATTTCCCACAGCACCTTAACGCAGCATCCTGACTACAGGGTCACTATGGTCTCCTTCTTAAGGTGGAGATACAAGAAGCAGTCAGCTGTGTGGAAATGACACACCATCACAGCGAGCATGTGTTTTTGTGTAATTTACTGTCATTATGTATTTTCCTATTAAGTTAAGGGTGGAATTAGGCCCAAATAGTGTTTGGTCTGTACACAGGAGTGGCTTTCTATGAAGATAAGCTCCAAAATACCAACAATTACAACAGTATGAGCGCATTGACAGTTTATTTCTGTAGCACTGGGTTGTTGTTCAAATGCAGAGAAATACCTCAGAACTGCAGATTAAACTTTCAAGGACTTAGTTAAGATCTGGCAGCAGCTCGGTGCAATAAAGAGGGAAAAGAACGGAGCAGAAAATAAAATGCAAACTGGTCAAATAACTAGATTAAGTGTGATTATCATGGATTACATGTAGTAGTGCTGGGAGAGGATTGTAGTGTTTAAGAACAAGCCTCATTAAAAGCTTTAAAAAATAGCAACAAAATGGACTTTAAAGGTCACCTTTCTTTATCAAACAAACCTTTGGATATGTTTAAAGGTGTTTTATCTTCAGCTGGTCAATTCTTTTGCATGCATAGACACCATAAAATAGAAAATCTGTTTTCTTTTCTTCTCTAGTTGTCCTCTTGATATATCAGCTGTTCAAAGAATTCATTATCTGCATCTCCAGTATTCATTTGGTCATTTGATTTTCTTTCATAAATTGTATTTATTGTATAAATCGCAGAGGCTACAAAACAAAACAAAAACACAAACCTGCTGCATAATCCTGACGCATAAATGACTTTAAACTCTGTGTCTAACGTAACCTTTTGCATATTGTGAGCAGATTTCTGTTTGACAACTGCCTGATTATCATTTTTGTTGCATTTCTGATAAAGAAACGAGAAGGATGAGGACCTTTGTGGAAACAGGATCAGTACTGATGCTATTAGCTTTCATAATGGAACACATAGAAAGGTTAATTAGACCAGAGGATCAGTGTAATATGTACTTATTTTACTACATTTTAAGGCCACAGCCGAGAGGAGAAAAAAGGGGCAGAGGGACATTTGTATCCTGTTGGGAAAAAGTCAGCGGAGAAAGAAAACATTCTATCATTAGGCGCCTCCTGAAACTGCAAAGACTTTCTCCCATGCTTGAATTTTTGTCAACAGGAGCTTGGAGAAACAATAGCCTTTGCTCCTGGAGCACTTGCGTTTTTCCTGGGCTTTGGGATGAAAAATCTGCTGATGTTTCCCAGCTCATTCAGGCCTGGCAGGACGGCCACTGGTATAAATAGTCTGGCGGCAGCGGAGGCAAAACCCTGGGCAGCCTTTAAATCACAAACTGGGCAGTGTTCACACATTCTTTCAGCTCTGCAGCGTCTCCTGGCAAGCTGCTAAATGAAGAGCCCGAGACCCAGGCTGACCCTGAGCGGCTAGCAGCCCTCCACTCGCTCATGAAACCAACGCACGCAGTCCCAGCGAACATCTGCTATCCAGAGGCTGTCGGCGAGGTCAGCAGAACCAAACAACACCAGCCCTCCTCTTCACCGCTGTCATGACTTTATGTTTTCAGCACCATCTGCCTTTTCTAAAAGCAGGTTTCACTCTTTAAATCAGACCAAACTGAAAAAACCCCATCAGATTGATCTTCCTCTTTCTGTTTGGTGAAGACGTGAACATGAGAGCAGGTGAGCGGGGTCACCCAGCAGGTCGGGAACATATGAAGCAGCATATTGTTTCATCTTTTATGGGACCTATGAAAAGCACAACCAGGCACATGAGGTGTAATAAACTGCAGCTGAAGGAAACTCTGTCGTGAGTAAAAGTAGCCTCATGAATAATCCATATTCTGCTTTTTACTGTATCCCATAATCATAAATATTTGCTTTTTACAACACCTTACATTTTATATTCGCTGCAGCCCACTGAAGAAGGTGCCAAACCGAAGGCTGTCAGCGGCTTTATTAAACCCAACAGAAGCCTCTTTCATGAGCAGAGCACATCCTCAGTTCGGACCCTGTTTGCATGCGAGCGACTTGCAGCCCTGAGTAACGAGTCAGAAATGCGGCCGTTGGATCCGCTTTGGTCACGGCTGCTGTGTTTGAAACATCTTCAGTTGATTCAGTGAAACCGAAACTGTCCGCGTTAATCACCGCTTTGTTGCGAGACGTGTTACTTTGGTGAAAAGAACAGCCGAAAAAACCCAAACGCGACTCGACAGCTGCGGACGGAACAATAGCCAAAGCAGATGTCACAGTTGTACACGGAGACCCTCTTGGAAAAGATGTTTATAATTTGTATTGTGAGCAGGAAGCTGCAGGGTGTGTCCGTACGCCCATTCTCTGGTCGAAATGAGCCACAAACACCCAATATAGTTTTACTGATTTGGCATTTCAATACTGGCTGGAACAGACAATATGTTGCAGTCATGAGAGGGATTCGTGTTTGAGTGGGAGTCACTTTTTCCTAATTGCGCTGCCATGACATCATGATTGTGTAACAGGTGGGATAACCTCACAATCCAGCTGGAATGAATGGCTTCTTTGTTTAAACCTTATTTGCAGCTAATTGTAACCATTCTGCACCTGAAGCTTTTCCAACAATGAAACAGCAGATTCAAACCCAAACTTTTTTCCAACATCTTGGACCCACATCATCGACTACATTAAAGCAGAGCTTGTTACACAAATGAGGCAGCTGCTTATAGGCAGGACCTGGCCGAGCGGTGCGCCGAGAACCTGAGCGGTGGCTGCACATACTAATGGGAGGTAGACGAACAGAGGAGAGGGGGAAGCAAGTCATCTGTAACGAACCCAGTCGTTTCTTACAGAGGAAGTTTGGTAATGAGCTCAGGAAAGATCTGAGCTTTTACATGAATGGATTCTCTGCACAGATACAGAATTATTTTGAATTGCTAGACAAGTGTGCGTTGGAATTCAGTAAATGGGAGGCTATTTAAACCATATTGTTGATACAGTCGAGGCATGCAGGACTCTCAGAATTGATTTTAGACTGTAGTGTGTGCAGTTCGGTTCATTATCCTCCAGCCAGAAGAAAATCTCAACAAGGTCAAAGGTCAGAACTGGAGGCGATTACACATTTTTAAATGAACAAATTCAATTAGCTGGTGGTGATTAAGGGCTGCAAGGTGGCTCGGTGGTTAGCATTGTTGCCTCGCAGGTTCTCCGGCTTCCTCCCACAGTCCAGAAACATGCTGAGGTTAATTGGTGATTGTAAATTGTCCGTAGGTGTGAATGTGAGTGTGCTTGGTTGTCTGTCTCTAAGTGTAGCCCTGTGATAGACTGGTTACCTGTCCAGGTGTCCAGGGATCAACTCCAGCCACCCTAGTGAGGATTAAGCAGTGTATAGATAATGGATGGATGGTGATGATTACAAATTCTGTCTGTGACATATGTCCTGCACACTGCAATGTTTGAATTTTTCCTTTAGCACACAAAGAGTT